AGGTGAGACCCCCCCTCGTGGAAATTGATCCTTAGTCCCCTCCGAACTACCAGAAGTCGAAAGTGACGGCCAGCCCAGCACGATCCGCACGAGGAGCAAGCGGAGTGTCGTGTGCAGGTTGCAAAGCGGGCGCAGGTATTGGGGGATGCGAGTGTATGTGGGTCCACCGGCATAGCATACCTTACCTCGTCGGAAGTAGTACCAAACAATGAATACTGTATGCCGTATCGGTCGACAACCATGCAACGTGTGCATATCTTTAGCTCGACTCTGCAAAACGTTCTATTTGCTTGATACCCACCAACGGTCTCGAAAACTGCTGTGGAACAGGAGAACAGTTAATCACTCGCGGCTCGCAGCTCCGAAACGGAATCTTCCCCTATCTTAACACCCGTCCACAAGATTTGTAACATTGCACCCAAACTGTTCATAGCCTCAACGATGCATACAGAATCTTCAAAGCTTGAACTTTCGGCTGGGGACTTTGAATTACGGTCTCAGTATGCCTCGCTAATTGTCAATTGTCAGGACCTTCCCCCAGCTCTGGCAGCAGTGGCCTCTTTCGAGTGCTGGAGATGGCCTGCACCGCTGCGCTTGGAGCGTGGCGACTCAGACCACTGCACGAGTCTGTAAACTGCAAACTATCGGTCCTACAGACTGTACCCCTCTCTAAGTTTCGCCGGACCACCCCTCGGCTGATGCAGTTGCTTTCTCACAGGAAACCCCCAATCATCTGTACATGTAAATTAGCGGACAGGCACCTCGATTCGATTGCCCTGTGGATACCCTTTGAAATGTCCCGAAAACATCGTTGAACCGCATGCTTTCGACTAGGAAAAACCTCGGGGTCGTCCGCATTGAGCTTCATGGCTTGGGCTTTTGTGCCTAATGGCATGGCCGAAAGACGAGGTGCACAACTTGAGGCTTGAAGGTGCTGGAAGGATGATAAATGGACCGATGCACGGACACATGCCTTGCTATGTATTGGAATGATGTGACTCGGGTCGTTGCTTCTTGCTCGTAGAACTTGCGAGAGGGTTCACCCGAGAACGCAACGAACTTGTCTCCTCTTCGAAACAAGGACTTCCAAGCTCCGCTGGATTCGGCGGTTGTTCACTATGGACACTTGTGTCGTATTGTACGTATAGCACTAAACAGCTTGCCGTCAAAAACAAACACAGTGTGTGTGTGTGTGTATGTGTGTCACACATACACACACGCATGCACACCAAAAAACACACAAACACAAACACACACACACACAAACAGACAAACACACACACACACACACACACACCCCTGAACACTCTCTGACGGAGAAATCGCAAACCCTCAAGCACTTCCTCTATCTTATGTTGGAGTTCTTGGCTTCGCCCCTCGCCACTGCACTTGCAGAAAACAGTTTGCAGGCGTCTGCCTGATCGCTCAGATACCACCACCATGCACTGACAATGTCTTCAGTGGGCAGTGCCCCCAAGCTTTGAAGGAGAAACTCCTTGATTTCACAGGTGTGCACACACAGATATTCCTTAATGGAGTAGTCTTAAAAAGCCAGCATGGAGGATCGCAGGCAAAGCCGCAGCCCCTCCAATGCTGCCGTGGCTGACCCCACGTTGCACTCTTTGGGGTTCTTGGCTGAGTCCCTCACCGCTTCACTTGCAGACAACAATTTTGCAGGTACGTCTGGCCAATCAGCCCGAGATATCACCATGCACTGACAGTGTCTTCATTGGGCAGTGACTGTCAGCCATGCACGCCCTGCTTGAAAGGAGAAACTCTTTGCTTTCAGAGTGTCCGCACACACACACACACACAGACACACACAGACACACACAGACACACACACACACACACAAACACACATCCACCCACCCACACACCCACCCACCCACCCACGCACCCACCCCCGCACCCACCCCCGCACCCACCCACGCACCCACCCACGCACGCACGCGCACGCACGCGCACGCGCACGCGCACGCGCACGCGCACGCGCACGCGCACGCGCACGCACGCGCGCACGGGCACGCACGCACGCGCACGCGCACCCGCACCCGCACCCGCACCCGCACCCGGCGCCGCACACACGCACACACCACGCACACACCACACGCACACGCACGCACCACACACACACACACACACACACACACACACGCGCACACACGCACACACGCGCACACACACGCACACACGCACACACACGCACACACACGGGCACACGCACGCACACACGCACGCACACGCACACGCACACGCACGCACACGCACACGCACACGCACACGCACACGCACACACACACGCACGCACACGCACACACACGCACACGCACACACACGCACACGCACGCGCACACGCACGCACGCACGCACACGCACACGCACGCACACACACGCACGCACGCACACACACGCACACGCGCACACACACACACACAAACACACACACACACACACACACAAACACAAACACACACACACACACGACAGGGGACACGGACGGACACGGACGGACGCGCGCGCAAGCGCGCAAATACTCATCACTCAAGTTGACACGACAGCTCGTGCCATATAGATTCATCGCACATCGGCAGCTGCCTATAGGCTAGGACACACTGGAATATGTCGCACTCGGCATGTACTGGTCATGATTGGTGTCGCTCGCAGCTCAAAGACGATACGCTAATGATGCTTCACAAGGTACGAACTGCCTGGCATGCACAAGGGGCGCACTGATTTCGGCAGGCCTTGCAGATGCCAGTAAAGCCTGAAACCACTCCACGTCTGGACAAAAGCCGCCACCCGAAGCTGTGTCCCCGAAACTTGAGAACATGTACGAACCCCACTCGATTACACAGCGCGCCTTTGAGCTCTGCGTGGGTGGCAAAGGAGACTCGGAGGCCTCGCTGTGCAACGGCGGAAGCCTCCCAAGGGCTCCGGCATCACTCGTTGTACAGTAAAAGTCTCTTCAGCACTCTGTGGCCAAGCACTGTGGCAGTCATGACGGTCAACACAAAAGTGCTAACGATGGAGATGCAGATGCTGGCGCTGAGGCTGCTACAGTATGGCTGCTGCTGCTGATGATGATGATGATGATCACAAGAAGGAGGATTTGATGACATGGCCTATAGCATGACACGAATGATAATGAGGACAAGAGTGAGTGAGAGCGATGGGAAGCTGCTCCTGAACACCACTATGATGTCACTATGCATGGCAGTGCTGCTCCAGCCGCAGTGTCCCTGTCCCTGCACAAGCAGAGGTATAGGGTCCCGCTCTTGCTTGTATCCTGCTCTGGCAAGCACAGTCGCCAAGCCCAAGTCTAAGTGTCTCCTGGCATTCTTGTTTAGGATATTTCGGGCCTCGGAGTTATGTGCCCGAACACCTGGACCAAAATCCGCAACTCTGAGTTCACACACTGAATTCACACACGGTCTGTCCAACACACCCCAAGGCATTGCACAGGACAACCAATGATTTTTCCCGGCACTCTTCTACGGGGAACTGAACTGAGGGAGCAACTTGGGTGATCTCGCGTTTGCTCGAAGTCCATAGCCCAAAACAAAAAACGCTCAACCGCATGGTCCGGAACCCCCAACCCCTGCCCACATCTCCCTACCAGCACGGCCAAAGGCTGGGCGTCTCCGCGTGAACCCAGGGCGACGAAGACCACCTCAGCCAAGCGATACCAAACGCCAAACATCTCGATTCTGGGCTTAAGAGTCTGATTCCTTCGGGCGGGCCTCTCCGCGTTTCGGGCTGGGAGGTCCTGTCAGATAGATTCCAGCCAATACTTGGGCTTTGCTGAATAGAGCAGATCTGGGCTTCAAGGTTTGGAAGCATGCAGACCTAACATCTGGGCTCTGATGCAGGTCAACTTGGCTATGGACTTTGTCGGAAACCAAACGGGGACCCTTCAGCGGGAGGAGCGGATCAGGAGACTTCATGCATCGGGAGCCCTCTCCCGCACCCCATTTTTCAAGGACCATTCTATCATCGCAACGAGCGGTCTGCAGCCAATGCTTCAGCTGAAGACCACCGCCAACCTCACATCCCTTACCGAAAGGAGAGCCATCTAGCCTGATCTGAAGTCTCCAGACTTTATCTTCGCAACGAGGCTGAGCTTGTACTGAAGTGTCGTCCTCGAAGTTTTAAGGATTCTCAAGACTAGCCAAGATCTGCAGGGCTTGGCCAATCCTCTAGATGCTGGCTTTCCTAGCATTGTGTGGGCCAACAGATCCGAGAGGCATGCTTTGCATCGGGCAGGGCGGCCATGCAGAAACGAGGCAGTGGAACGCAAGCTGGACATTCTTACGTCGCTTGCGCTCCCTTGGAATACGCCCTTCAGTCGAAGCATCAAGTTTGCATGCAAAACCGAGAGCTTCGAAGCGAGATCTCTGCTGCATCTCTGCTGTGTAATAGTGCCGACGTAGTGTACACTAAGCATATACTGGGGCCGGCCATGTGACGAAACATGACAATGAGGCTGGCCAAAGGGAAGCTGCGGTTCGAGCAGCCATGCTGACTGTAAGTCTCTGTGTGTTTGTAATTTTCTCAAAGATCTCTGAGCTATAACTGGGCGTCCTCCTAGCCGAAAGGCTGACGGTCTGAAGGCAAGAAAGAGACACAAATCATGCAATGCAAGACGTTTGTAGCAGCCATGTAGCCCCAACTCCCATGCACGAATGAACAGCAAGTCTGCGAAGCCTAAGTCCCCTGCATGGACTGTGATATCGCTTTGTACTTCTTATTCTTATTGGTTACTAGTTAGTTGCAAACGACTGCGGGGAACAGTGCACTGGCAATGCAAACATGAAGTCTCGAGTGTCTGCGGCTCGGTTTGGCTGTGGACGCTGTCGGAACTGGCAAACGTTTCAGACACGACGAGCCGCCTCTGTTTGCTACAAGAAACTGCAAACCTTGGCTGCGCTGCAGTGCAACACCTCAAACTTGGGAAAAGTGGGATACTCCACTACGCCATCGTCCCAAAAAAGGCACACCTTGTGGTCAGCGCTGTAAGGAGGGTTCGTGACCAGAACCTGAGTCTGCTGTTGGCCACGCCTGGCCTAGGCCCTGGGGCAACCTAGAGCCCTAGAGCGGATGGGGAGATTCAAGTCTGCAAGGCAACTCTCCACCGTCCACATGTGGCCAGGTCCATGGTGCTCACCCACCGCAACATGCAAGTAAATTCGATGTAAGCTCCTTGCGTGAAAGGATGGAATCTTGCCTGAGGGACTGCGAAAGCACAAGTCTTGGAATCGGCCTGGCAACCCAGCAGCTTTTGATTATCGTCCCGTGATCCTGGCCTACTACTGGCGATTTTCGAGAATCGCAAGGGGTTCTTTATGAACTCGCAACAACCCGAGCCTTTCGGTGGAAGATCCAGATCTCTGACCCTGCAGTGCCTAGCCCTGGGTGGTCCTGCGAAAGCTGGCTTTCAGCTGTGGCTCGGTGAATCATTCCCATCTACTTCATCGGGGCATGTGGCTCCAGAAACTCGCAGCTTCCGGGCTGGCCGACCAGAAGGCAACCAATGGGCGAGTGTGTTTTTCGTGAAGCCTTTTGCCAAGTAGCCTCAAAGCTGAAGCCCCCCCGTTTAGATGTGCACCCGAATCCCCCGTAAAACCGGACTCTGAACATGACACTTTGACAGCTGCGCCAGCATATTGTAGGAGTCATCCTGGACAGCATTGCGACTCTTGGAAATGACGATGCAATTGTACTAGACACATGTCCAGTGCTCTAATCATGTGGTCTACAATATATCTCGAACCGGATTCCGAATTTTGGTCCGTTTTAAGCTGCACGCTGCGAATACTCTCATTTTGAACAAGACGCACATCCAAAAGTCTCGAATGCCGGCCTGCGGCGATATCTGCGTAGAAATCCCTACGCCGATGCGCCACGCGATGGAAGCCCAACTCCTTGCAATGCAGGAAGAGCTTGAGGATTCATTTGTTTCGGGCTGAGGTTCTTGAGGATTTTTTGAAGATGCTTTGCATATCGCGGGGGGATTGCATCAGAGTCTAGGACAGTGCTTGCGAGGCCACATGACGTTAATTGACCAGGGCTGGGCTCAGGGTTTCGTGCAAGGGCGTCCAACCATGCAAATCCGAGCTCCAAACTTGAATTTCTAAATTTCTGATGCCGGGGCTTTGGCACCAGTGGCTGTTTTCTTTGGATTGGAATTCTGTTTCTAATAGTTGAACCTGGAAGGGATTCCGCAAAGCCCAAACAGAAGGGAGCGGTGACAGTGAACTACAGATTCTCCCAAATCTCGATCTCCCGCACTGCAAAACCCCTTTGCTGGTTGTGAAGACACACACACACAGACTCTCTCTCTCTCTCTCTCTGTCTCTGTCTTTCTCTCTGTCGGTCTCGCTGAAAATCCTGCAACGGCGCCGCCCCCTATCAAAGCAAAACTGCACCGCAGTCTCCAACCTCTCAAAAGCTCGAGATAGTCAGCAGCTTGGACTCTCGGTCTCAACGAGCTAGGTTACACTGGCATCCTTGCCACACAGCTAGACTTGTTTTACATAATATGAACACGAACCCACAGATTTTTCAGGCCGACCAATCGCCCTGCGCCCCAGTATCATTCAAGGCCTGTAGCAATCGCTTTGCGCGGCCACTGCAGTAGTACGGGTCGTAGATCTGCCACGGCGACGCATGCTTTCGACATTTCCAGGCCCAACGGGGTTCCTGCGGTTTTCGATGGGTTTGGAGGGTGTCCAAGGACGGTCGTTCTTTGGGGGTATATAGATTTAACAGGCCACGGCCATGGAAGCGGAAGCTGAGCTGGGCATGACACGAGTATTGTAAAGCCTGACACTCCTCAATCTCAGGGGTAGGACAATGTACGGTATCAGAATGAACCAGGGCCTGGCGTTGGGAGCTAGCTTCGTGACATATTCGCTTTGAACACCCTCAACTCGACATCCTGTCAACGGCCTTCAAATCCTCTGCGGACAGGCCGCGGAGCTTTGCGGCACAGCGAAGCAGCCTTGGAAGAGGTCTACGAGAACTGCAGGGTTACCTTGTTTTAAAACTGCCTTCGAGGGGGCCTGAGGGTGATGGCATCTTGGGTAGCAAAGGCTCAGGGTGAAGGATTCTGGAGTTGTCGTCTGCAGATGTGCAGCCCTTCCACAACTCATCTATGTAGCACGAAGCCCCGAATACATTCGCAGCCGGCCTCGCTAACTAGAAGGACCCTCTCAAACACTGCACGATTGATTCCAAAAGCCATGATTTCCCACAGCAGCGGAGCAGCGGTAGAATGTCGTGGTATGCTTCTGCTGAGGTTTCGAAGTGATCCTCGGTCACTTCTGCTGACGCTTTGGCTGGGCTCGGGCTTGCTGAACTAGCGGCATGCAGAACTAGGGGAGCCGCTTAGGTCTCAAGGCGGTTAAGAAGTGCTCTTCGAAAGTTGTCAATCTGTGTCACACGGACAACGAGTGCATGCGCGCTTGTCTTTCCACGTGTGCGTCAGCCCGTAAGCTCGATATGCACGTCTCCTGGATCTGCAAACCCGGAGAGAACATCAAGGTCTAAACACCACGGCGCTAGCTCTCACACCATCTTGGGATACTGTACAGAACCAAAGAGTCGAAGCTATGAGAAAGAAAGGGCATTCATCTACCTTCCTTTTCAATTTTCCTTCCCGAAACAGTATAGAATTCTTATGTTGTGTAAAGGAATTTGGTTAGTCACAGTCTTGGGACATCGAGTGCTCCTTCCTGGTTCTTGACTTGTTTTTTGTCTTTTGGCTTCTGGCAAAGGAGGTATTTCTTGCCGGAGGTCACCATCGTCCACCTCGTAGGGCCATGTGGCCCTTAGTGGTTCAGAAGCTCTAGGGAGGGGTTGGCCTCGGGCAGGCATCCCTTAAAATCCAGTGACTCTCTACGACATCATGACATGCCCAGGGGATCCCAACCCCATTGTGATGTCGTAGGAATTCTCGCTTCGAGCTACAAGTAGATGGTTGAAAAACTTGTTTCAGGGCAATGGGGTGTGCTGAAACGTGGGGGAGGTGCTTGCAACGAGGATCCCGATTGTCAGCGCGAATCGTAAGCTTGTGTTGATGTCAATCTCCTTCCGCAGGAGGCTGCTTCAATATAGCTGCTCGGGCCTCGAAACATGTCCAACGCAGCCCAGGCAGAAATCTTACCTTCATCATCATCATCATCGTCATCATCATCATCATGACTATTGTTGCTATAACTACTGCTACCATAATCATTATTGCTATCGCCATTTTATACATAACTATTGTCATCATCATCATCGTCATCATTATCATTATCATCACCATCGTCATCATCATCACAAACCGAACTGCTGCTGTGAGAGTAGATGACTCTTTCGTGCTCATGCCTTGAACGTCTGAGCAGTACGGAAAACCATGAGCACGATGGTGAAATCGCCACCAGCACAAACCAATAACATGTACACGAACCACCAATGAAATGTTGTATGTGCTATCCTCATTCTCGTTTCTTCTATATTGACCTGCACTACTCCTGTGACCGTTAGATGTCTGGCAGGCCGCTCGTCAGTAGACAGCGCCATCTGCATCTCCCATGGCACACACACACACACACACACACTCTCACTCGGCGGTGTGATTTGGTTGTTTGGAGTCTCCTCTACAAGCATGTCGTAAGTCCTTACGAATCCGGACATGTCGCAGAAAAGCCGCATCTGGTCCCGTTCCTCGCTTTGCTTTTGGTGCTCTCAGTGTCAAGAAGTGGATCATCTTCGAGAGGCTCAAGGGAAAATCTGCGGGTGCCAGTCAATGACTCTGGAACTCTTGCATGATGACTGCACACATTGAAAGAAACGCCTGTTTCATCTCATTTGTGTGAAGTCCGCGCCATGAGCAGTGTCTGCACGGAAACTCAGGCGAAGCTCCTCCCTGACTCGGAGTCTGAGCTCTCTGAGCTCTCAGGGGCAGTGTTTTTGCGCCGAATGCAGTGGGCTGCAGCGGTTAGCTGAACGTATGGGTCCCGAGCCAGGAACAGTTGAACTAGGCACGGGCCGAGTCCACAGGGAAGATTTGCAGTACGTCTGAAACCGAGCAGTACGAAAACAAACATCGTTGTGTAGGCCACCGGTGGGATCACAAACCACATGCTGTCTTTCTGATAGGACAGTTTCCCAATCATCTCACATTGAAACATCGAAGGCGTGAAGACTGCAAGGTAGACCACTGCACACTTCTGTATCACCAAGTAATCAAAACACTGCTCGTCTCGGGGCGACCGCCGGATCAAGAGTATCATCAAGATACGCTCCAAAGAGGTTAAGGTTCTGAGTGGAACCAGCCTCCAAGTCCAAAAACTGTCCAAATAAATGGCATCCAGCACGAGTGTAAATACTGTTATGGCCAGGAAAGGTCCGAACATCAGCATCGGCAGAGCAAGTGCCGGATTGGCAGCCTGTTGGATGCTAACGCCCTTGGAAGCAATCTCCCGCAAAGTGGGCGTTGACATGCCTGCTGACATAAGCACCTGGCGGACGTCAACTCTCTGAAAGGGTCTCGATATGGACTCCCGAGTTCCAAAACTGCCACAAGGGCTTCTTCCCGAAATGCCCGGATGCAGCGCATGTTCTTTGTTTTCCGAAACGGACTTTCAGTTCATTTATTTATGGATTTATGGTGCGAACACAGCTGAGCTTGCCTTTAAGCCAACACTTAAGACTTGGCCTCAACTCGTGCTGTGAGGGGAGACATCCTTGGAGAAACTTGTTTATCTATTGCAATTCCCAAGGGCAGGCTTCAGAGCTTACGGACATCGCTATTGAATTGCTAACGCGCGCCTCAATCGCGTAATCCACCGCCTCAATTTTATCTCCGATCTCTTCACGGATGCGCTGGTCATCTTCTGCGCGGGAGCACGTCGCGTCTACGATGGAGCCTGTGTATCCTGACAGTGATGTGCTCGCATATGCTGGCAAAACTCTTTTGTGATGCTCTCGGCGAATAAACCATGCCATATACACCAATCAATAACACGGCGGCTTTAAACTGTTGTATCGTTACGCAGAAGCGACAACGTTTCTGCTGGCAACTACCACCCATACCACTGCTACCACTACTACTAATGCCACTGCCACAGCCCCACTGCCACTGCTGCTCCTACGACTCCTACAACTCCTACTACTACTACTACTACTACTACTACTACTACTACTACTACTGCTACTGCTACTGCTACTACTACTACTACTACTACTACTACTACTACTACTACTACTACTGCTACTACTGCTGTTACTGATGCTACTGCAGCTACTACTGCTACTACTACTTAGTACTGCTGCTACTACAACTACAACTACAACTACAACTACAACTACCACTACCACTACCACTACCACTACCACTACCACTACCACTACCACTACCACTGCCACTGCCACTGCCACTGCCACTGCCACTGCCACTGCCACTGCCACTGCCACTGCCACTGCCACTGCCACTGCCACTGCCACTGCCACTGCCACTGCCACTACTACACTACCACTACCACTACTACCACTACCACTACCACTACCACTACCACTACCACTACCACTACCACTACCACTACCACTACCACTACCACTACCACTACCACTACCACTACTACGACTACTACTACTACTACTACTACTACTACTACTACTACTACTACTACTACTACTACTACTACTACTACTACTACTAGGTGATGGTTCTGCCAAGCTGCCGACACCGATTGGTTCTAAGGACCGAAAACATTGGTTCCGAGAGGATGGATCCACAACAAGCTTGAGACACAATTCGGTTCAGCACAGGCTATACAAATTCTGTTGAACGGCATTCAGTGAAGCCGACCAAAATTAGTTGGCGGGCTTGTTTTTGTTCCTCCTGTTTTGGGTTTTCCTGCCTGCCCGTTCTGTCCGAGTCTCTTTCCACCCCTGGTCTCTTTCCTGCCTGGTTCTCCGGCACCTGTAAAAACAGCCATCGACTCGCTTCTCCGGCTTTTTTCCTGCCTTCCCTGCGTCTCTCGTCACCAGTCTTTTGCTCCCCTTCCCACCGGGGTATTTCTCTTGGTGCAAGCGGAAAAACCTTTCGTTTGCCCGCGCAGCTAGGTCTCCGAACCCGCCCCCGGGCGAAAGTCTTTATCGGGTCGACTGGGAGTTCGCGTGTTGTCCGGAGGCGAAACTGAGCCCTTGCAGGGAGATTACAATCAAAAACCCAACCCCTATACTGACCTCAGTGGACTCAAAATGCGCAGCTTATCAACGTTTCCTAAGACGAGAAGTGCAGGCAGATGTTCCAGACAAACACTTGAACTGGACACTCTCACCGCCTCAATCCTTATTGCACTCCACGGCATAAAGACTGAAGGTCTAGAACCTAACCACCGCAAGCACGAAACTTATTTGCACATCGAAACACACACACACACACAAGCGACAAAGGGGGCTCCTCTTCGAAGCTGCGCCGCCTCTTTCTCAGTCGCTTTACCTAGAGCTCTGTGCCGCAGAGGATAGGAGAAAGGCCAGAGTTCTTAGGCTAGTTTCACAGAAAAGGATTCAGGCTTGAGACCTGGGCACTCTTGATACGGTCCGTTTCAAGCAGAAGGAACGTGGCTGCCACGACAATTATCCAGACACGCTGGGCCACAGCAGGAACAGCTCGAAGGAAAGCACTTGGACTGTCAGTGTACAGACCTCGCACTGTGTGCCACCTTGCAGAGCGGCCCGAGGAGCAATCACCGACTCAAGACTCTATTCCATTATTTTAGGTTTCGGAATACAGAGAAACGTTGCTTTCGAGAAGCCCGGCCACTCAAAGGCAAGAAACCAGCACAAGACACCGCCAGTGAGATTTAAGACAGCACGGACCGTGTTCCTTGGATCATCCAGCTGGGAGGCTTTGAGAATTTTGACACAGAAACGTAGATGCTAGTTCGCATGACATCCAATCCGTCAAACTTTTGAGCTGTTGACCGTCGATTGACATTGACCTATAATAAGAAAGTAGGCCGGAATTCTTTGCCATTCCCATGCTGCAGACTCCGGTTGCGGCCACCAGGCAAATCACGCCCAAGTTCACGTGCTCGGTCCACCCCTTGAAGTCCAATAGCCATGCTAAAAGTATGCCCGTCAAGGCAGCCAAGCCCATGTGCTCCATGGCACGCCAGATCTCTTTCCAGTTTGATGCCCTGGCAATCAAGATCACTTTACCCTGTTCCTGTGCAAGGTAAGCTTCGTATCCGCACCAGAGCCTAGTGTAAACGGAGCAATGCCGGTTCGGCACCACCAGCACGGTTTGTGAAGCTTGCAAAGCGATCGCGAAAGGAGAGTGCTGAGGGGACTGAAGCAGGCCCGTTATGTCGAGATGCTGCGGGTTCGCAAGCATGCAGCACCAAGCGTGTCGCGCATTGTGCGGCCAGGAGTGCATGACTTTGGACAAGAATTCGAAGATTCCCTCCTGCCACGCATGGCTGATGAAGACATCGCAATTCAGGCCCTCTGGGTTTCTCATTAGGGCCCAGCTCATCTTACCGGCAAGATCTGTGACCGGCTTGAGGTGCTGCTCGGTCACGGTGTAGATGCTGGGGCCGTAGTGGCCATCAGCATCGAGAAAGTTGTCCGTCCCATCGTCGGGCGGTTTGATCTCCCCTGTAGCAATCGCTCGTCGAACTTCCCGTCTAAGGTACTTAAGGTCCGAGAAGGTTACGCACCAGCGATCGGGCGAGATCCGCTGGTGCAGAGCCACAGCCTGCAACGTGCTGGCTCTTGCAAGAGCCACCGTTTTCTTGGCTCTTTGCATATCAGACAAGCAGCGAGCAGCGCACCTATCGACGAGAAAGGCTTGTAAAGGATCTGAAGCAGACCGCTGACATCTACTGTAATTAGCTTCGTGTGCCTCAGGCATTCGAGCAGGACATGCAGCCTCGGAGGGCGTGGGAAGGGACCCGGCTCGAACGGACAAAGCGATCCCCGAATTCCCTGAAAGCGGGGTGGTCGTTGAGATGCGAAAAGAATGCTCTGAGGCCTGGCGGAAGGCTCCCGCTTTTTCAATGCTCGCGCTACTCTGCATCTGCTTCTGAGTCGGACTCAGAGGAGCATGCCGGCTTCAAGAAAGAGCTGCTGGGACACCTGGGCAGCTGTTCTAAGTGATTGAAAGCTGCTGCCCAAAGTACATGTTCAGGTAGTGCACTAGGAGGAGCTTCCGAAACCAAACAAGAAGCCTTGTTGGTTTCGAACAACCCTTGCCTGTGTTGGCCTAAGCTGCAGAGCCGCACAGCCATGAGATGAGCGTAGAAGCCTCGAGCAAAAAAAATCTGCACGACGAAGCATCCAAACGGAAGTCTGGCAGTTCGTCTAAGCCCGAGCATGGTGAAGGTGAGCATGATCGCAGAAAGCAGCAGGGGGACAAGAAAAAACAAGTCCGTAGTCGAACGCGTGAATGCCAGATGTGCAGCAACCAGCAGCAGATAGACCCCGGTAGTTTTCTGGACAACATAAAGTATGAAGCAGCGCTCATCTCTTGGCTGAAGCCAAATGTAGAGGATGATCAACGTGCGCACCGCGAGTGTTAATACTTCCGATGGCATCGTCAACCAAAAAGATGCCTGCTCAGCTTCTTTGCCGGCTTTCATCATCTCGAGCAGCAAAACAATGAGGGTGAAAGTGGTGCCCACCCCGAGAAGCAGAACGGTCAAAGCAATCTGTGGATTGGCCGCCTGGCTGATGCTGACACCCTTCTGTGCAACCTCACGCAGAGTGGGTGTAGACATTCCAGCAGATAGAAGCACCTGCAAGTAGGAAATCAACCGGGTTCCAAGCTGAGGGGTCAAGTGCAAAGTCGTATCGGCCTCGTCACGACAACTACTGGTACAGCACTGGATTTGCGGCGGCAAAGGGCGCTGGAAGTTACAACAATGAGCCGTCCAACCATGCCCGCGAGCTTACTTCCGGGTGACAAAGCATGAATATCCCATAAAACTGAAAGTGCACCTCGATGGCGTAGTCCACGGCCTCAACCTCGCCTCCTATCTCTCTATGGATTCGCAAGTCGTCGTCCGGACAAGAGCAAACTGCATCCACGACAGAACCCGAGTATCCTGCAGAGCAGGGTAGCTGAAAATGCATTGCATTTTTCTGAAGCCGCGGAGTCGAGGGTGGGCATGGGCTTACGAGTTTTTCAGGGCTCCTCGTCCAAGCTGCTTCGCCTCGACCCTAGCATTACTGCTGTGGATGCGGTCCAGCTCCAGGAAGCAGAAAGTCATTGCCAGCGCTGCGATCCAGCAGTGCCCGAGAAAATAATCGATGCTGCGACGTGCAGGATGCGCCTGCTTTGAATAGACGCCCAGTCTTCCCTGCCAATGAACAAGCAAGAAACAGGACATGGTGCCGCCAAATAGGTTCAAAGCTAGGCGCAACATGTTCCTCGCTGTGGCCATGCTGCAGACACCTGTCGCGACTACCACGCAAATCAGACTCAAGTTCACGTGATCAGTCCACTCCTTGAAGTCCAGTAACCATGCGGGGAGTGTACCAACAATGGCAGCAAGGGACATGTACGTCATAGCCTGCCAGATCTCTTTCCAGTTTGATGCCCTGGCAATCAAGATCACTTTACCCTGTTCCTGTGCAAGGTAAGCTTCGTAGCAACACCAGAGCCTAGTGTAAATGGAGCAATGCCGGTTCGGCACCACCAGCACGGTTTGTGAAGCTTGCAAAGCGATCGCGAAAGGAGAGTGCTGAGGGGACTGAAGCAGGCCCGTTATGTCGAGATGCTGCGGGTTCGCAAGCATGCAGCACCAAGCGTGTCGCGCATTGTGCGGCCAGGAGTGCATGACTTTGGACAAGAATTCGAAGATTCCCTCCTGCCACGCATGGCTGATGAAGACATCGCAATTCAGGCCCTCTGGGTTTCTCATTAGGGCCCAGCTCATCTTACCGGCAAGATCTGTGACCGGCTTGAGGTGCTGCTCGGTCACGGTGTAGATGCTGGGGCCGTAGTGGCCATCAGCATCGAGAAAGTTGTCCGTCCCATCGTCGGGCGGTTTGATCTCCCCTGTAGCAATCGCTCGTCGAACTTCCCGTCTAAGGTACTTAAGGTCCGAGAAGGTTACGCACCAGCGATCGGGCGAGATCCGCTGGTGCAGAGCCACAGCCTGCAATGTCAGCTGCCTGTCAGATCTTGCCATTGGTGCTGCGAGGGAAGCGATGGCACACTGACAGGCATATGAGAAAGCACAGCTAAGACTGTAATCACACCAGAATGACAACAGCAACTCACACGACTCAGAAGAACAGCCTAAGAACTTCGCAAACGCCTCCTGCAGGGACAACATGTCCTGACTGGATTGTGAGCCATGTGGCCGTGCCTGTCATTGACTCTGCCGCGGTGGTCGTTGTGCATGATCAGGCAGGGCACGGCAAAAAAGCAAGCAGTCCAGAGATGCACACAGTCAAGTGATGGAACAGGCAGGGGGTAGGTGGCTTGTTATTAGCTGCCAAGTGCCACACTTCGGAGCACCAGTTTTACATTCTGCGAAATCGAAAGGTCATCAAGCTCTCAATGCCTCATCATCGATGGATGATAGGTCCTGAATGCCGGAGTTGGGAACAGCAATCATCCGAAGCTGTCCTCCTACATGGCACTCTACTCGGGGTGCGTTATCGTATCGAACCGCCGTATGAGAAGGCAGCTTGACGCCGCGATCTTCGCCGTCTCTCAGACATGGAAGCCCGAATGACACTGAAAAGCCTTGTGATGCCAGAGCAGCCTACCCGGTGTGTTGAAAATATGCAAGAAGGCATGACCTCGCATGTGGTCGCCTGCTGTGAATCCTGTCTTCCTTGCAGGAACCCTCGAAACGGTTACTGCGCAAAAAGAGAGCCCGGCTTGCACGAGCGCTGCGAGCTGCTGCCTCGGGCCGCAAAGTGGCGAGGTCTCTTGACTCTGATCTGACTCTGTGCTTTCAAGGCCAGGTCTTTGGCTTTAAGAGCCATCTTTTCTTCCCCAGTTTCGGACGTTTCTGAGTAAGGCCTGAGTCGCCAAATGCGCGAATCTCGACCGCAGCATAGAAGTAGTAATTCTACTGGTTCTGCAGTTCCCGAGATTCACATGCAACCGCAGTAGTAGTAGTAGTAGTAGTAGTAGTAGTAGTAGTAGTAGTAGTAGTAGTAGTAGTAGTAGTAGTAGTAGTAGTAGTAGTAGTAGTAGTAGTAGTAGTAGTAGTAGTAGTAGTATAGGAGGAGTAGGAGTAGGAGTAGGAGTAGGAGTAGGAGTAGGAGTAGGAGTAGGAGTAGGAGTAGGAGTAGGAGGAGTAGCCAGGCAGTGCACCGCTACTAAAGCCACTTCTGTTTTGAAGTGCGCTGTGTTGGCGGCCAACGTGAGGTTAGCAAGTACCATGACCTGCAGAACTGTGCTGCGAATGCACGAGTTCACAAACCTTGTGAGAAAAGACTATGTTTAACGTGGCTAGCATTTTGGGTCTCTTTCTCGTCACAGCGGTCGAACCTACCTAAATTCAGATACCACAGATGCTTGGAAGACCTGCCACCGCTACAGAGGGATTCGATTGAGTCGTTGAGCCACTCATCCGCATTCTGCATCATCTACGGGCTTCCTTTCTCAGCCTCCGGCTGCCAGAAATGATTACCCCAACACCCGCTCTAAAGAGAAATACTCGGAACCGGACTGCAATCCATCCACCGCCTGCAAAGACAAGAATGTGCATGTCACGTCTCGCTGATCCTGTATATCCGCAGTGAAAGCACCGACCTCACAGTGGCGAGCACAAAACGGTGGAGACAGACTCACGGCCACAGCTTTGCAGCTTGACCGATCTGCTTAGTGATCCTTTTCCTCGTCGTCCTCACCAATCATCATCATCATCATCATCCTGCGCGGCACTGTCAGCCTCATCGCTCCCGCTCCCCCTCGTCGACACATCATCAGCCTCGTAGTCTTCTTCATCCTGCTTTAAGTCTCGTACTCGTCGTTGCCATGGTCACAAACCGAGTACACTTTGAACCGGCAAGCTGCAGACGGCTGCCGACGTCTGCAGCTCTTTCTTCCCTCCTGCCTCGAGCACCGCGCTGCGCTGCGCGGCCTCGCGGCGGAGCCTCGGCAAGTACGGCGATAGCCCGATCGCAGGGCTCAGGTGACAGCCATCCCCAAGATACCAGAGACGGAGCAAAGCATCAGGATTTGAGAAGCTTTAACAGCTTGAGTATCTGGGCCAGGGAATCTTGGCAGACCTGGCCTTCTTTGCTATTCTGGGAAGTTTGGTCTCAAGCGATTCTGTAAGATTGGGGTGTAAGCTGCAACAGCACGCCACGTCAAACCGATGATACGAATTTCCGAGGTAGATCAGCGAGTTGCGGCATGACATCTGCGCGCTTAGCACTTGTTTGGGAAAGAGCTCTTCCTTTCGAGGTGCATACAACAACGGCCTGCGCTTAGATAAGGAGTCCAACGAGGCATCCTGATCAGAAGAATCCCCCCCTCCGAAAAAATGATGAACACACCCCAAAATTCAAGATGAAACGTCACTTGCCCCTGAGTGCCGCAGCCGCTCCCAACCATCCTTGGCAAAGGCTCAGTGAAGGGCAACCAGCACAACCAATCCATGTTCGGAAGGTGGAACATGGGACACCCCCGGAGGTCACACGCAGGTGGACTGTTTCTGAAGAGTCGGAGCCCTTACTGGGGTCATTACGCTATACGTTCTTGGTCATGAGTCGGGAGCGGCAGGCGAGATCTCCTTCCAGTTCGAAGGCATTCAATATGTAGGGGCCCTTTCCACCGAAACATGGAGCAGGCCCGTTATGTCGAGATGCTGCGGGTTCGCAAGCATGCAGCACCAAGCGTGTCGCGCATTGTGCGGCCAGGAGTGCATGACTTTGGACAAGAATTCGAAGATTCCCTCCTGCCACGCATGGCTGATGAAGACATCGCAATTCAGGCCCTCTGGGTTTCTCATTAGGGCCCAGCTCATCTTACCGGCAAGATCTGTGACCGGCTTGAGGTGCTGCTCGGTCACGGTGTAGATGCTGGGGCCGTAGTGGCCATCAGCATCGAGAAAGTTGTCCGTCCCATTGTCAGGAGGTTTGGGTTGACGTCAAACATTGTGCCCTAGGCACCGGTCCAAGGCGGTTTTCTGTTTCAGGCTCTCCGATTTGCCCTACCTTTACTAAGGCCCGACCCGAGCAGCAGCTTTGTTCTTGATTTCCCTGCCTTCTGATCCAAGGAATCAGATGGCACGTTTGAATGCACCGGCCTTTGGTCAAAGACACTCGACCAGATAAGCTCGGATTTCCAGTTCTGGGCACCTAAAATAGGTCTACTGCTGGAACTCGTCCCACACCTACCAGCCAATAAGAATGCCCAGGCTCGGATGCCGTGCTTGCCAAGCTCTCCGTGGCCTGCGCTCCGTGGTGCAATCTCTCAGTCTCATAGACTGACTTACATATCGATACAACATGAAGTCAACAATTACCTGCCGACGCACATGAATTTGTTTCTCTTTCTTGCGGTATATATATATATATATATGTACACATTTGGATATGTGTGTATGTATGTATGCATGCATGTGTGTACGCACACACACGTGTAGGTATGTATGTATGTATGCATGCATGCATGCATGCATGCATGCATGTATGTATGTATGTAATGCATGCATGTGTGTGCGCACACACACACACATACATGTACACTATGGCAGAGTCTTATATGTGCGTGCATTAGACAGCCTTGAGCCCACGTCTGTATTTATCTGTGCACATATGCTGCACACACACACACACACACCGACTTCTTATGGCTCAGCTCTGAGCCCCGGGATTGGGACCCAAGCTGAGCCTCTCATGAAAAGGCCTGAATTTCTGAACGAGTTTTTTGGGTTATGCAGCTACGATTACAATCGGAATGATAAGCAGAAGGTTCATGCTACGCGTCGAGCAGAGCTTCCAAAGGATTGCCAGGTTTTGATGGGTATTGCAGTGGGGATTTGATTGGGCTTGCAAGGTGAAGCTGTAAGATGGGGTCTGCCGACCAGAGTTTGACTTTCTTCTTGCTCACCCTCACGTTTGCAGGCTTTCTGCGCAAGCGTCTTTTCTCTGACTGGTCAGTCAACCCTGAGAGACCGAACGCTAGCAACTTTCATCCACAAACAAGGAGCCCTGGATCCTAAGTCCTAGGTTTACGGTTCAGGGGGCCATGTCACGCACCGACATGCAAGCCTCAAGCTGAAATTCCGAACCTGTGTTCATGGATGCCCCTGCAGCAAGACCGTCTCCAGTAAGCATGTAAGCCCCGTAAACCTGGCACCTGGATTCCAGCCCCAGATGCTTCCGGGGCTCGACATCACGAATATCATAGTTCTTCGGGGCATAATAAGCGTGCAGTATGTCATCCAATGCATTGCCTCTTGAGCTCGTGTCTGTAGCGCGCAAAGCCTCAAAGCAGTTATCGAAGTTAAACGACCCCTGCTTCAGTCAGGCTTGGCCCCGTCACACGGCTCTACCCAGAAGTCAATGAAAGGAAGACCAACAAAACAGAAACTAAAGAAGCTTGTCGTCCCAACAAACCCCAGAGGGTGACTCCCAGCTCTCGGGCCTTCCGGGCAGCAGCGAGGAGAGCCATCCGCCGGCGCCAGAGCTGTTGTAGGCCGTTAATGGGCTTGGGGCATCGAGTTGCCAAGCTTCCTGCTTGTTGTTTCATGACTACTGGCACAGGAGCTCTAGTTAGTGCTTCTGGATGACTCCTGTTTCCCAATGCGTTACAGACCTTGGCCTGAAGGCTTCACGGCTTGTGGCAAAATGAAGAATGATGGTGATGACGATGATGATGGTGATGGTGATGATGATCAGGGTCAATCCATGATGAAGATAACCAAAAAACGATGTCGCTCCTGCTGATACGACCGGGAGCAGCATTTCCAGACATTGGGAACTCCGGTCAGAAGGATCATCGTCTCTCTGTCTTTGTGTTGGTTGAACAGCAATTCCAGACAGTGGGAACACCGGTCAGAAGGATCATCGTCTCTCTTTGTGTTGGTTCTTGGCCGCTTCAAGTCGCAGCCGGTTCACCATACCGTACCCGACCAGTAAAAATGCTCTGAAAGGGCTCGGGCTCTACTCCTGTACAGTAGGTACCCCTCCAGAATTGCAGGACAAGACCTAAACTCTT